AAAAAAAAAAAAAAAGAACACGAACAGATGTACGCTGCATCGTTATTGACGGTGATGAGCACTTCTGAAGGCCAGCTGTGATGGTATGTGGACGGAACAGTGCTCCCCGATGCCCCCCTCCTAGTTGCTGGAGGTGTGAGCAGTGGCCTGGTGTGGTAGATGGGTGCAGCCTTTGCAGGTGTGCTGGAGTGATGGGCAGGTTCCATCGTGTCGCCCTGGACACCTGGTGTGCTCACTAGAGTGTGGCAAAGAACAGGAAATTCTGGGTGGAGCTTGCTTCCCGGGCTGGGGTCACTGGGAAGAACCCTTGGGACTTCTACACCCTGCTGGAGGTCTAGTCTCAGGCTGGTGGGAGGACACAGCTGAGTTGGTTTGGATAGTCTGGCCTCAGTGCCTCGACTGCTGTGGACGGGGTGCGGTCAGGTTCCCAGGCCAGGAGGGCAGCACCATAACCCAGGGTGGGGTCTCCACCCTTGTCCTCCAGTGCTGGGGTAGGGAGAGAGTCCAGGGCGTTTTAAGAATGTGACCAGAGATAGCTGTATCACTTCCGCGCATGTCTGGTGGCCCAGCTATGTGTGTGCCCGTGCCTAGCTGCAAGAGAAGCTGGGAACAAGGTCTGTGGCCAGTTGCTATTCAAGGGCTTTTCATAGTGAGTAAGAGAGCCACCATGGAAGAATGGGGACGTCTGTTAGTATTATGTAAATCATATCTGGGCCACACAGATTTGTATATAATTTCATTATATATAATAAAAATGAGCAAAAGTGACGAGGCAGAGGTAGCATTACAGACAATTCTTTTCAGGAGTACGGGAAGTGAGGACTAGAGGAATGGAAATTTGGGAGGGTTTTTATATTTAAAAAAAAATATTTCTTTGGAATAAAATTGGGCTGTGTCCCTGGGGGAAAAGAGGGGCCTGAGGAACAAAAGCAGACCCAGGAGCCAGGCTCCTGCCCTGGGCACTAAAAGGGACCAGCGGGGAGGGGAGGAGGGAGCCGGGGCAGAAATGAGGGAGGGAGCCTGGTGAGCCAACCTCAGGGTCCACCCCCAGTCAAGGTCACCTCAGCGCCCGTGTCTTCACCGCCTTCCCGTGGGGAGTGGCGTCACTGGGTGCTTCCATGTCATGTGTCCCTGCAGCCCCCTCCCAGCTGAGTGCTGAGCGTGACCCCAGGAAAAAGAAAGGGCGCCGTGCTGCTGAGCCGAGCTTGATGCCACAGATGTCCGCGAGAGTCCGAGGAGGGCTCGGGTCATGGAACACTGTTCCACCTCTAACATGTTGATTTACTGTCTTTTAGATTTAAAGGCACCGTTGAGGAGCTCAGTAACCAGATTTTGTCTGCCCGGAGCTGGTTGCAACAGGAGCAAGAACGGATAGAAAAAGTACTTCTACAGAGAATCGACGAGCTGTCCGTGGCTCTTAAGGAGAACAGTGTAGGTGTGGGTGCTGGGCAGGCACCTCATGGTCATTCGGGGAGGTCTGCAGAGCTTGGCTGCCGCCTTTGGTGTCACGTGGGGCTGCTCCGCTGTGGCTCGCCCCGGAATCCAGCTCTCTCAGTATATGTTTTGGCGTTGGGGCTCAAGCCCAGGGTCTCATGTGCTCAAGCCTGTGTTCTACCACTAAGCCCACCTCCAGCCTCTATTCTGTGTTTTTACCTTGTTTTGAGACAGGAGCTCGCTTTGTAGCCCAGGCTGGTCTTGAGCTTTCGCAGTGATCCCCCTGTCTCAGCCTCCTAAGTGCTGGGATTACAGGCATGTGTCGCAATGCCCAGCTTTATATTCTTTTTTTTTTTTTTTTTTGGTGGAACCGGGGCAGCTTTATGTTCTTTATAGAGACATGGAACATTTTTATTTCTTTTGGCTTAAAAGTTTAATAGCAGGGGCTGGGGAGATGGCTCAGTGGAATAAGTACTTCCCTGGCAAGGGCAAGGGCTTGAGTTTAGTCCCTGGTTCTGCCAAACAAACAAACAAACAAACAAAAGCAAAAACAAAGTACAGCTGACAAAAGGGGCTCAGGAGATGACTCAGTGGAATAAGTGCTTCCCTGGTAAACACAAGGGCCTGAGTTCAATCCCTGGTTCTGCAAAAAAAAATAAGTTTTAATAGCATTTTTTATTACTTTCAGATAAGATAAACTTAAAATTGCAAACTATTCACTTGCATTTGCATAAAATGAACAGCCATCATTTTGGCCCGGCTTGTTTAATTTCATGACCAGTGTTAAGCAGATCTCCCTCTGATCCCCTCCAACCCCCTGAAGCCTGGCGTGCAGGAGCCCAGAGTGGCAGGTCCCCGCTGGCCACCCGCTTTCCATGCCTATTGTTCTCTGCTTTCTGTGAATGAAGGTTTGCCATGGTTCTGAACCCTGGCTCAGTCGAGCCTCGCACGAATCATGTTCAAAACCAGCAGGCTGGGCAGGGAGATCGCACGGTTAGATCCCTGGTTCTGCAAAAAAAAATAATAATAATAATCCCTGGCAAGCGCAAGGATCCAGGTTTGATCCTAGTACCAGTCCCGCGTGCTGCCGGCCCCGCGCATGCCAGTGAAACCAGGTGTGGTTGCGCACACCTACAGTCCCAGCCCTGGGGAGCCTGAGACAGGAAGATCACTATGAATTAGAGCTGTGTAGCGAGACCGTGTACCAAAATACATACGTAAATAAAAAATAAAAAAGCCAGCAGGCTCTGGAGCCTGTACCTGGTGAGTCAGTTTGTTGTCTTTTGGGGTCGCTCAGCGTGACCACCCCCTTCCTTTTCTCCTGTGCCGCTTCTGCCTGCGAGGCCCTAGCCGAGGGGCCAGTGGGCTTTGCCTCGCTGACTGCTGTCTGCAGGCCCAGCCCTGGTGCCCGCAGGAGCAAGCGTGGCGGTGCTGCATGCTGCTTAGAGCTTGGGGCTCAGTCCTGGCCCCCCAGCTGGCCTGCAGACACAGCCGCATGAAGCCCAGCAAGGCAGAGAGGAAGTCCCCCAACTACTGACGGGTATTTGCCCTGTCTTTCTCAGGTCTACTGATTACATTATGAGATTTATACTAGGGGCTGGTGAGATGGCTCAGTGGTCTAAAGCACCTACTTGGAACAAGCTTAGTAAACCACAGGGACCACGGTTCAATCCCCCAGCACCACATGCCAGCCCGCCCGCCCCCTGGTGGGCTGAGCTGGCCACACACACACACACACACACATAATAAATAAATAAATGAAAAATAAATGAAAATACAAACAGCAAATAAATATAAAAAAAAAGATTTATACTAAAACATTATAGGAGGGCCGGCCAGATAGCTCAGGGGACTAAAGCACCTGCTTAGGCAGGCACAGGGACCAGGGTTCTATCCTGGGCATGCCGTGTGGCTCCCCATTCCCGGGGCACGCTGAGATAGCAATTGAGGCTGAGTGTGGTGGCGTGCACCTATAATCCCAGCACTTGGGAGGCTGAACATAGGAGAATCACTATAAGTCCAATCTGTGTAGTGAGATCCTGCAGACCCTGTACTAAATATATTAAAACAAAATTAGAGGTTTTAAGTCTTTGGATCACCGTTCATTTTTATATGTAGATTGGCTTAATAACCAACCGCAAACCCTAGGGTAGCAGTGGCGTTAACAAGAGAGAAGCTCATTCTCTCGTGGAGGAGAGGTCCACGCGGGCCAGGACGGCCTCGGCGTCTTTTAGTTCCGCTCTGCGCCAGCACCAGAGAGTCACTGTTGTCCTCACAGTTCAAGGTGGCTGCTGGAGCTCCAGCCATCGACTGAATTCTAGAGACAGAGGAAAAAGAAAGAAATGACGGCAGCTATCATCTGTCTTTTAACGTCTCCTGGACGCTGTCACATACGCTGGCATCTCACTGGCCAGAAATTAATGCTACAGTGACGGCATGTTATGTTCAGCCAACGTTCTGCTCGGCTGAGCAGACAGAGGCAAATGTGGCTTCCATCTGGATGCCCTTTTAGGAAGCTGAAAGTTGGGCGTCTGCTGAGGCAGGAGCAACCGAGCAGGACGTTGAAGTGGGCAGCAAGCAGCCTCGGGTTCCGCCCTGCACACTGCAGAGCAACCCGCGGGCAGAAATGAAGCGCGAGGCCGACTTTGTGTTCCGCATAATCGGTGCGTTTCTCCTCCTGGTTCTCAGGCAGCCGGCGAAAGGGACATGGAACAGCTCAGCCACTTGTCAGCCAGGATGGACAAGCTGGAGGACACTCAGAAGAAGAGTCTGGAAGGCCCGAGGACCAGGCAGGAGGAGGACAAGGTGCACGGGCGGATCAGCAAGCTGGAGCTGCAGATGCAGGAGGGCTTGCAGGACATGAAAGCGGAGGTCAATGCTGGTAGGCCACACCGGATGTGTGTTATTTTCTGTTGTTTCTCAAAGCCCGTTAATTAGGACCCCTGACACCCCCTGCCGCCACCAACCAGGGTTGTCCTCACAATTCAAGATGGCGGCAGGAGGGCCAGCCATCGACTAAGTTCTAGAAACAGAAGCAAAAAGGAAGAAGTGACAGTGTACACCAGCTGTCACCTTCACTCCTCCTGGAAGCTGTCACACGTACCTATCACACTGGCTAGAGGTGGATCCTGTGGCCACGCTAGCTGAGGAGGTGGGGCAGCCAGAGTGGAGCGGCCTTCGCCGCTCCTGCCAGCTGTACCACGCTAAAGCGCTCCTTGAGTTTGAAGTGTACGAGGAAAACACAACTAACACTTGGCTTGCAGCTCAGGGACACTTCCTTCGTCCCCTCTGCCGGCCCTTCCTTGCTGATAGCCGTGGGCACATGTCACAGCAGTGAGCCCTGTGCTCACTGAGGGCCTTGCTGCACGATGCCCTTGTGACCTGTCACCTCTTGTTTCCTTCAGTCCTGGAGCTTGAACCCAGGGCCTTGGCACTGAGCTCCATCCCCAGCCCTTTTATTATTTTTTTGAGACACGGTCTCCCTGACTTGTTAAGCTGCTGAGGCTGGGCTCAGATTTGGCAGTCCTCCTGCCTTGGCCTCCAGAGTGCTGGCTCATCACCTCGGGGTGCTTTCTTTTTTTTTTTCTTTTGGACTGGGAATTGAACTCACGACCTTGCACTTGCCAGGCAGGCACTGTGCCACTGAGCTAAATCCCCAACCCCTCTTAAGATTCCCCCTTTTCATAATGCTGCAGTGGCCAGTAAATTTCAACCTGAGCTTTAGAGGGGACATGCAGGTCCTGGCAGAGGGCCGGGCACTCTGAACTCAGGCTGCAGAGCTGGGACCAGGAAGTGGACAAAGTTACCCAAAGACAGATTTTTATTTTTTTATTTTATTTTATTTTATTTTATTTTATTTTTGCGGAACCAGGGATTGAACTCAGACCCTTGTGCTTGCCAAGGAAGCACTTATTCCACTGAGCCATCTCTCCAGCCCCTAAAATTTAAGTGACTTTTTTTTTTTTTTTTTTGTGGAACCGGGGATTGAACTCACACCCTTGCACTTGCCAGAGAAGCGCTTATTCCATTGAGCCATCTCCCCGGTCCAAAGACAGATTTTTAACTCCCACAAAAATAGTTAACAACTTACGGTCCCTAAAGACACCGATGGTTTTGTGAGCCCCAGAGAGCTCTCTGCTCCTGAAAGGATTCTCGGGGCTGCACGTGGTGGCACACACCTGTAATCCGGGCATTCAGGAGGCTGAGGCAGAAGGATTGCTGTGAGTTCGAAGCCAGCCTGGGCTACAGAGTGAGCTCAAGGCCAGCTTGAACTGCATAGTGAGACCCTGTCTCAAAAAGATTTTTTAAAAAAAGTCATGCTGTAAGCCGGGCATGGTGACCCAGCCCTCCAGCACTCCAGGGCTTGAGGTAGGAGGAGTGTCATGAGTTCAAGGCCAATCTGGACTACATAGTGAGTTCAAATCCAGCCTGAACTACGTAGGGAGACTGTAGATGATCTGTGACTGCAGGGTCTACAGTGCTCTTACTCAGAAGCCGCTTATCAAGTTCTATCCCTGTACCCCTGGCCAAAACAGAAAGCAACATGTGGGCATTCCCCGGCCTGACTGCAGGGCGGTGTTTTTAATGTTCAAGGTTAAGCGTTCATTGTTGTTTCCTTTTCAGAAAAGCTTCACCAATCTGTGTTTTCTTTTCTTTTTTTTCTAATCAAACATTTTTAACAGGAAAATTTTAATATGTATTGAAGATAAACAGGCCGACCTAATATGCATATATAATGAGATGGTAATCATATCCAAGCCAATTAGCATAGCCGTAGTGTCACGTGATTGCCCCTTTGCGTGCGCTTGTGTGTTTTTATGTCACAAAAGCACCTCAACTCTGCTTTTAGAAAAATCCCCAAGACAACACAGCGTCATTGATCACAGCCCTTCTCTTGTGTCCTAGTCTCTAGGCTTCTCCCTGCGGGATTGAACTCAGGCCTTATTCTGCTGAGCCATCTCCCCGGCCCCTTGGTTGCTTTGGGGACAGGATTAGTACAGGCTGGCCTGGCGCTCACCCTGGAGCGCAGGCTGGCCTCAGACACACAGAGCGCCTCCTGCCGCAGCCGCCAGAGGGCGCCCCCGCGCAGCTATCCCGGCGTTGCCTTGGTGATCGGCGACGCTCGGCCGCTGCTCCCGCGCTCGCCCGCGGTCCAGGCCTTGAGCTGGGGCCCCACCTCGCGTGTAGTGTCCGCGCTGCTCCTCTAGTCTCGTTTGACCTGGCTCGGTTCCTCAGCGACCTTGACGTTTGGAGAGAGCGCTGGCCAGGATTTGGCAGAGTCCCCGGGTGGGCGCTCCGTCTGCTGCCTGGGGTGAGGTCTGGGACAAACTGCGCCGCTGAGGTCACCACGCTAGCTGGGGGGGGGCTGTACGCGGTGGCTGGGGGGGCTGGGTGTGGGCTGTCCGCGGTGGCTGGGGGGGCTGGGTGTGGGCTGTCCGCGGTGGCTCCCCGGGGCTGGGTGTGGGCTGTCCG